CCGATAGTCGGTTGGCCGGGAAATTCGTTCGATTACGCACTAACTCCATTATCAGTGGAAACAGCCGGGTTTTTTGGGCGAAGCGATTTCCAGCGAAATCTATTTATACACGCGGCGCTAGTTCCCAAAACCGCATTGATTAACTGAATAAAACACAATATCAAGCCACTTTGGTTGTTCAATCGCGGCGAAAGGAATGTAGCCCTTCAAAAAGAAGTACATAACGCTGAAGGGCCGGATCGCAGTAAATCACGAATAAAAACCAAACAACCGTAAAAAAAGTTTATACGAGTTGAAAACTTAATATTAGTACGAATGAGGAAGAGCCATGCCCGGTCGATGGAGCAGGACGAAACGCGGTAAAGAGAAAAACGAGCTTGACGTTAAATTTCCCTTTAAAGAAACTCTAAAAGATGTATCCCGAGAAGAGGAAAGTCGAGTTCTCTAAATTTTAGAACCAATTTTAATTATCTCAACGTAGCGAGATCCATGCTAACGCATTTTATAATTTAAAAATTCAATTAAACATCTCCCTCGTTAAATCCAAAGATTCAAATTAGACCAATTTGCTTACAAGCGCTCGCCGGAGCCCGACGAAAATGATTCATCCGAATTACTCCCGGATAATTCCGTTCGATTAAAGGAGCCCCGATCGGATATTTATCCGTCGATTATCTAATTTACCGTAACACAACCGAACACCTCTCCTCAGTAATGGTCCCTCGGGCCTTTATCTGGAAACGGAATTAACGCGATGCGTGACAGAACGGGCAATAGAAACGCCGTTTTCAATGAAATCGAGAGCCGTCTCCAGCAAAACGATCAAAACACTTTACAGGAGCGCTACCTGTGCAGCATAATTTCGCCTAACTACATCGCGCCAATTTAATGCGCCGATAAATAATACAATAGCAATGTAGATAAGACGCCTTGAAATTAGCGTTGTGCTCGAGCATTAAACGAGATATTTGTCTGAGAAGACGCCTGTGTACATCCACATCTGCTGATGTAATCGCAATTTGTAATTAACCTCTAACTGATATGACAAACTTACTATAGGAAAAACCATAAACTAAAACAGCACTTATTTATTTTCTATTAGAACTCGGCGAATTGAGTGTTCATATTTATACGAATTTCCCCTTTACAACGGTTCGCAATTCCAGCACAAGCTCGAAGGCCGCTAAATAAAAGTCGGCCGCGAACTTGCGCTTGCATTTAATTGTAATTAAATTAACGCAAGCGTTTTGAAATGAACAAAAAGCTCGCAAGTTTCTCCGCCGCAACGCTTAACAAATGCGTATGTGTATGCACGTAGCTTCGCTCTGATGTGATGCATTCATTAAAATGGAGTAGGTAGAGGTGGTGCTCGTGGTGGGAAAGGATATTGAAATTCGAGAAAACATTCTAGAGTGTTTCAAATGAAAACTAGAATGAAAGGAAAACAAAATCAGTAGTAGCAGGAGATGGTTACATAATGTGGGATACATACATGAATTTTGGCTAATACCTTCTGACAAAAGAGTACCCGGAAATTCTGATTTAAATTACATGCACTTAATATTGTTAACTATTTCACGTTTCTGTATGTAGGTAACACTGTTCTTAATTTAGAATGCAAAAAATTAGAGAGATTTCTCAATCAGTTTGGTTGTTGCAGCTGATTCAATCAGTTCATCTCATTAGCGCTCTGCGAAATTTGCAATGGACAAAAATAATGAACAAAGATTTTGGCTCATATTTTGGGTTTTGAACGGAATTTCGTGGGCCGAATCGATGCAAATGCTTAAGGTAACTCTGTTTTATCGAAAACTCATATTTACGAATGGTATAAAACATTTAAAGACCGTCGAAAGATCGCTAAATGCTTGCCCTGTTCCGGACGGTCTTCGACCTCTTCAACCAATGGTAATGGCGAGAAAATGAAGAAAATTGAGTTCGAAAATCATCATGCTAGTATTAGAGAAGTAGCAGATGACCTTTGATTTTGATCAACCAATCAGACATACTGTGAATTGAGGCTCGAACAGCCACTTTACTCACCAGATATAGCCTCGTGCGACATTTTTTCGTTTCCCAAACTCAAATTGCCACTTCGGGGATCTTGTTTTGGCTCCATAAATACCATCAAAGAAAATTCGCAGAAGGAGCTAAAAGCCGTACCAAAAAGGGCCTATAAAAATGCTTCGATGATTGGAATAGGCGCCTGACTATGTGTATCGCTTCAAAAGGAGCATATTTTGATGAAAACTCAAGAAATATTAATGAAGATTGGGAATTTTGTATTGACTTTTATCACAGTGTATGTGAGCTATTATCTAGGTATTATCTACAGCTGAGAAATTTTTAGAAGTAAGCCTGTATATTTGAGAATAGATGCCATAACTTACTTTGTTCGATTTTTTGTTAAAATTGAGTTATCTGTACCATCAGGTACCTCTCATTAATAATCTCTACAAGATGGTAGAATACGACAGTAAAAGTTTAACATTACTACTAAACAACTAAACTTACTAAAGAATAAATTTTTGTAAATATCAGAATTTCTAAAATTTTGACAACAAAAACAAATAATTAAAATGGATGTTCAGGTGATATTCAATTTAAAAACCAAACATCCAAAGATCTTACTAAACAAAAAGTAGTTTCCCCTAATTAATAATTCAGAAATTTTAAGAAAAGCTCCACGTACTTAATACCATTCTAGCTCTAATGGGTAGCTATACATTTCAGTTTTGCTTCAAGTCGAGCCAAATGAACTGCGCGCACCAGAATAGAACGAAAAATTCCCCAAGTGCCTTTTCTATTAAAACAAACGCTCCATTGTTTAAACGGCTCAATAGACCGAAGCTAGACAAATACATTCTTGCGCGAGTTGGCGTATAGTGAAGTACGTACCTCTTTGCTCCGGTTTCCGTCTCGAACTCCGTCTTCAATTGCGGACGTTGAAGTTTTCCCCATTATACACCTACATTGTTTCCCAATCTATTCGGAGCGCCGGAGTAGCGGCGTTTAAAATAGTTCCGTGACATCTTATCTCGAACGCCTCGACGCTCTATTATTCATCGGGGCCGGGAAATTTCGAATCCGTGGTCCTTCTCCATCTCCCGTTTTTGTTGTGCCGCCCGTAACGAAATCACGAACGCATGGGAGAATTATCGCGCTGTTTAGTTATAAGTATAAAAAGTTAAACGATCTCCGGAGATGAGTTGCCCGGGGGCAACTTTTAATGAACGCCGTATTCTTCATCGTTTCGAACTTTTCGCCAAGTTTTCAATGCCGGCCTAACCTTATTTTCGCTTATTACTCGGGAAACGCGGATAATTATGGATCGCTTTAGAGCCTTCGCTAAAAAAACGAACGGTCGCGTTCTATCAATTCCGATAAAACGACCGCCCTTTTGTAAGTTATAATTCCAATTATATGCGTTCATACGCCTCGCTCTAAACGAAAAGATTAAATAAAAAGAAACACAAAAACTCGTAAATTCGGATAATATGCGCCGCTTCTTAGAGAAAATAATCCACTATTACTCATTTTGATTATACTAACCCCTACGTACCGTAAACGAGAAGGGATGATTGATACACTTTTTCATCCCCCATTCCCTCGGAGTCTCCCAGGGGCCATTTAACATTTATGATTATATGATGACGTCACGAAATGGTAAGATACGTATGCTCTAAGAAGCTTTATCCGTTTTTTTGCGCTGTTTGAGGTAGCGCCGAATGTATACGAGAGGGTGGTTATTGGAGAATACACGGCGAGATACTTTCTCCACAAGCATCACGAATTGTAGTAATATTCAAAATTGGATCAAACAGATGTAAAGTGAGTTACGAATATTTTCATATCGACAGCTTGTAAATTAAAGTTTTCTCTGTAAAATGAAGTGAAATGGAAGTTTCTTTAGTGAGTCGTTGCGAAGTTATGGGAGAAAATATAAAGTGAGGTCATATTTTTTTAATCTTTCATAAAATTTTGAAGATGGATCTGTTCCTTGTAAAATGAGCTGATAAGAGGAAATTTAAAGTGAATTACTGTTTGTTTGGATTAATTCAAACATAAGATTTATGATAGTTTTTTAAATTGCAAACCATGCAGTGTTATCATATTATTATCAGTATTTTCTACTAGTAAATGAGCTTTCATAAACCTCCTCTTATAGCAATTTTGGAGCTACAAGAGTAATTATTAAGATTTTTTTTCATTTTTTAAATTGCTGGAAAATTACAGTAAACAAAAAACTTATCAAGGGCCATTTTAAAAATAAATTCCTGTATATCAAACGAACATTATCACAAATATGGCTCTTATGTTTTATAAACTACACCTTTTAATGCAAACTTTAGCTATAATTTTGTATGTTTAATGATTATTTTTACCTATCTTCGAAGTATTTTAATCTTGCAACTTATTACTCAGTTATTTTAATCAGTAGAAGTAATTTTAATCATCCAATTGCTTATCCTAACTTCGCGGATCATGAATATTAGAAATCATTCAATCATTTCATCATCAATTTTATAAATTAAGCAAAAATTTAAAATGGATGTAAATAACAAGCATTTTTTTAACTAAACAATCCACATTTAACGTATTGATGAGGTTGGGGGAAACACCCTTGGATATACCGGCAGAACGGACCGATTATGAAACCGGCCTCGATGGATGTTTAGGGAGCGAGTGGATTAAAGTGTATTGCGAGCTCATAAAATCCACGTATTATGGCGAAGGAATGGCGGGAATTTCCATCGCCATCGGCGGATCACGTACAGATCCGGCGAGCTTTGTTCATCGGGAATATACCAGGCGTTGCTCTACCGCCATATACTCCGCTCTCTGACAGGTATTGTTATGAGTGTGGCAGTTGATAATATTAGATTAGATTAGGTTTCAGAACGGTCCCGGTATTATTTATGTTTATTGTGAAATTGTTCCGAATGTACGTGCGTTGTTTCGCTATCGGAAAAAGGTCGCCGTGTTGTTACAGTAACACGTAACTAACGAATTATTTATTCGTTATACGTAAAGTTTTATTAACATTAATTGTCGGGGATTTACTCGGCTCGTTTGAAGTGCTTGCGCTTTTTCCTGCTCTTGTCCTTTGTGAAGCTGCGCAATTTCCTTTTGAAATTGTTCGACTTGAATTTACTTCGCTTGTCTTTATGTTGGCTGTTAGATTGGGTTAGTATATTTTTCGAACAATGCGTCACTAAAAAAACAAATTTTGTATAATATTATTAGCGAGTCTATCTAAATTTACCGTCGTTATTCTTGCTATCGTGCTCCTGCGAATTTTGAATACTCAATATCTTCTTCAAGCTCTCGATGGAATTCGGATCGTAGTCCTCCCCTTCGATGGCGCAGTTTTCCGATCTCGTTTCGGGTTCCTCCTCGTCCTCGTTCGGATTGAAACTGCTATCCAAATACTTCTCGTAACCCTTTTCGATTCCTTAAAAAACACCACGTATCCCACGCATTCGAAATTATCCTTAATCCCTAATCATCGCCCTTACCGCCGTACTCTTGGAGAGGATGATGCCCGGCGTCATCGAACATCGAGTAATCGATGTCGAGAAACTTTAGCTCGGTAATGAAATTCCTGATGCCCCGCTCGTTGCTCAAGTACAGCAGGCAGATCCTGTAGAGGTCGATCCACGGGATGTACCAGCTGAGCACCTTGTACCGGGGGTTCGAGATGCAGTTGATCAGGTCCTCGCACAATTCCGGCGGCAGGTCCAACGTGTTGATGGCGTCGTTCAACGCCAGATTAACCTTTAAGGGATTATCTACTTGGGGCACTGAGATTAGTTTGTTGCATTCCGGACATTTGTAGATTCTCGCGTCGTCTTCGTCGATGGGCGGGTGCAGTTTGCACACCCAATTACTACGATCACTATCAATCTATAAAAAAATGTAACACAGTTTTGCAATATATCAACCTCGTGACGTCATTGCAGGGTTATCATGAACGTATTATACATATTATTTACCTGTAAACCGCTTTTCTGCGCTAATTTCTCCAGATTTGTCAGTCGTTCCTGCGTGGGTTTAAGACTGAATGCAGTTAAAACGCATTCTCTGGCTACTTTGACTTTGTCTGCCATGAATTCGGCCAAATCGGAGTAAATTTCGGCCAATTGCGCTGTTGCCGATTCGGTTTTTGTGGCATTTTCCGTGTCTTTTAAAGCTTCGATTTGATTAATGAAAGTCGTTAAATTTTTGACGAATAATTCGAGTATGTAGGATTTTAGTAAGGGGTTTTTGTTGGTTTTGATTCGGTTCAATAGTGTTAATAAATCAGACTGTAGGAATAAATTTTTAAAGTCCTCAATTGAGTTTTTGGATAGAAATAGCTCTATTAATTGGTTGAATATTTCATGATTATTAGAATTGTTTTCTTTTAATATTTCTTGTAGATAAATTGGAAGAGCTATAGTGACTATATTTGGGGAATATTTCCAAATTTTCATTAATTTTGGGTTCTTTTTCATAAACCTGTTAATTAGGTAAAGACCATCTTCGTATGAGAGTAATTTAATCATGCTTTCTAACTCATCAACATCTTTGAATTTGTACAAAAGTACTAATTTCATGTCGAAAATAAACCATTTTTGTTCAGCGCTTACGCAACAATCGTCCTTAAAATGCTCGGATTTCAAATATTTCAAAAAAGCAGTAACTAAATTTAGCGCCAAATCTTCGCAATTCGATTTGCAAAGCATCATCAGCCTTATTGAAACGAGGTGGGCTTGCTCCTGCCGAAAGAACTCCATTTCTTCGTTGGTTATTTCGCAATTCGGAATGTTTATCAGCTTTTCTAATGTGGGATTCGCCCAGGTAACCGCAATAACGTAATTCAATTTATCGAATCTGTTTCTGAATCCCAGATTGCGGGCGAGAAAATTTTTACTAGATAATTCTATTTTTAACAACAGCTCGTTTTTGAATAAATCTGCGTATACTTGCCATTCTGCGGTTAGAGTGATATTCATAGTGTGTATGATAGCCCAATCAATTAGATCAATCAAACTTTTTAGTTCCGTGTTCGAGAAATCGTACTCACTAAGTTCCGTCCATAATTTAATAAGAATTATTACTTTGTCGCTTAATAGTTGGGATTTGCCGTTTAAAATGTACTCGTATTTTTTAAAATGGACATAAAAATCCATTTTATTGTTCGTTGACATTTAGTGTCAATTATGTCACAAACAACAATAGATAGAGTACCTACTAGATTTTAATTAAGTTATCTTGTTATACCAATTTTTGCAATCGAAAGTGCCTGCATTATTGACATTACATCTGTCAAAAAAATATCGCGTTGACAATTTCGACACATTTCCCAGTGGAATTTTCCGGGCAGTTAAATAAACAAGTGCGCGAAGCGGACGGGAAAAAACGCATCGCGTCGACTGAATGAAAAATCTCCACCGAATTGTCCACTTCATTTCGCCTGACAGTTCGATAATTCACCGCGGTGCATTTTCTCCGGGCGAAACTTTTCCGGGCGGCATTCGCGATCCGATTTCGGGCAAACAAACAAACAGGCAAACAAACAACTGGTGAACATGAAAAGCGCTAAATGAATGGGAGTTGAATAAAACGCCGGCAAATAATGCATACAGCTCACGTTCCCCGATATTTTGAGTAACTACATAGTAGCGGCTTGTCTTTGAAAGGCCCTAAATTGCCCTTTGTAAGTTATTAATCAAACTTTTATTTAGAATAATGTCATCTAGAAAGAGTAATTTTGAATGAAAAAAACTTAAAGGAAGGAATGAAGAAAGAAATTTACTATAAACATGCCCAATTCCATCACTCACATTGCATGTTAAGCACCTTGGTTTAACAATTGGCCTTTAACTCTTTTGGTATACAGCTCACAATCCGCTGAGCCTATTCATTTTTCCTTGGAGTTTTTGGTGCATCACGCGCTCAATATGAGGCATTCATCGCTCGAAAATTGATTTAGGCACCTTGTTTAGCGATTTATTATTCAGCGAGGCTGCCGAGCGCTGTGTGTATTTCGCGTATGCATTCGCAGATAACTTGAACTCCGGTAATTTGCGGATTTATACAAATGTGTACGTGGCGTGAACTGGTTGCCTTCGTGCGAGTTTTACAAATGGGTCTGCGTCGCGGCGCCTAATGAAAGTCGAAACTAACTTTCCGAAGCCGGAGTCCGCCATTGTGGGCTTTTTCGTTTTGTACCGAGCCAGCACAAAAGGGTACACACAAATGCTCTAAACAAAATAACTTGGCTTCGCGGGAGATTATTATGGGGGTATTAACGGAGGCTTTGGTTTTACGGGGTGAACCAATAAATTAATGAAAGTAGAGGTTGGGTCAAGCAGTATAATTGCTGGTTGCTGGAATGGTAACATTCAGACATTTTTATTTGATTTTTTTTTCAAGAATTTCTTAATAATTTCTTGGAATATTTTACTAAATTAATCGATTTTTCAGACAATTTTTTATGATCTAACATGTAAATTTGACAGTCATTAGAATATTACTAATTTTTCAGATGATTTTTTAATATTTTACATGCATGTGAATTTGACAATTTATTATAATATTTTGCTTATAATTTTCCTGTTTTCAGTTAATTTTATAAGAAAATTTGTCGATTTTTTAGACATATTTAACTTAATTTGTTGATTTTTCAGTGATTTTACAAGGTTTTCATGAGAATTTGACTATATTGGTTGATTTTTCCGATGATTTTACAAGATTTTATAAGTAAATTTGACTATTTTATAGAATATTTTACTAAATTAGTTGATTTTTCCGTTAATTTAAAAGTTTTTATAGTTAAATTTGACGATTTTTTAAAATATTTTGCTTAATTTGTCGATTTTTCAGATAAATTTTAGAATATTTTAGTTGATTTTTCAGAATATTTTATATGATTTTACATGCGAATTCTACTGTGTATTTTTTAGAATATTTTACTAAATTACCTAGTTGATTTCTCAGATGATTTTACAAGATATCTTAAATGTAAATTTGACGATTTTTTTAGAATCTTTTACCTAATTAAACGATTTATTTGATGATTTTTCTGAACATTACTAGAAAATTTTTCATTTTCAAAGCACCATCTTTAAATTAAAGTAAATTCTAAATTACAACAAAAGTTCTTATACTTTTAAAGAGAACATTTTGACAAGTTCCAAATTTATTACAAACTTTAATACTTTGCAGGAACGCAAAACATGTTGAAATTGTAAAACAAATACGTTCTGAAACGCACATTTTGCATGCAAGTATTGCGCAATCCAAACATTAAAAATCAATTTCAAGCACTTTAACTAAAATCCCGTTCATACCGCAAAACTAGGCACGAAAGTGAGATAATTCCGGCCGTCTCTGTAAACTTTTTAATAGCATGCAAATACCGCCATACGCATGCAAATGCCGCGTCGGCGATATACGCTCAAAATATCTCTTTTGTCTAATTTAATTCTCGGTCAGTTACGACGCCCCCCGGCGATAGAGAGGGTTTAAACCCTCTCGCGGAACGGCGGAATTAGTGCACTTACTGCCGGCTATTTTCATCGCGTATTTGCTCCCGCTATGATTTACACGCGCGTTGTCGACGTTACGGGAATTTTAATATCTTTAATGAAAGGCCCATTAAAAATTCCGCTCCGTTGATCTATACCATACACCGATGCTATTAATTAACGCTACTATATTTGTTGTTGCGCAATTTTACACACAGGAATTCGATATTTATAAAAAAACAGCTCTAATTAACGTTAGAAACGAAACTGTGTCAGGGTCGGATCGGCCCGATTCGGCATCCAAAACTCGGGGAAAGCGGTGGAAAAAAAACATCGAAAGGGAGGATATCAAGATAAACTGGTGGAAGTTACGAAAGCGCACCTTATTGACTTTACATTGTTCGGCATTCCCCGAAAAATAATGTCAAATTGGATTTCACTTTTTCAAGTCGACATATCGAAAAGGGAGAAAGCGTTCTCGCGGGACGTATTCATCTCTTATCCTGGTCGAGAGTGAGAGACTATCCCAATCCGAAAAGCTATGCTCGAGACGATAATCCCGGCGAACGAACGGGTAGGGGAATTGGAAAAAAACACGAAAGCCGTCTTGTTATTTTATAGGGAGATTGTCGATTCGGCTATTTACTCAGAAAAATTACCCGTTGTGTTTTTATCGAGAGTTTCGTTGATTAATTTTTAAAACACTTGCATATAAAAAATTTTAATCTAATCAAAATATTACAACTTGTCTATAGGCAAGAATATATTCTGTGATTTTATTAGACTTGTTTAGTCTTAGAAACTTCTGAAAAATTGATTTATTTAGTATAGAATATTAAAAAATATCGTCAAATTTAATTGCAAATTTTTGAAAAACTGAAAAATCAATAAATTTAGTAGGTAACTATTATTTACTATTTAAGGGAAATTTTTATTTGAGTTTTTTAAAGATATTTTAAGCAACTTGACAATTTTTTATAATTTTCAAAAGATTGCAAGTAAATTTGACGTTTTTTTCTTAATAGTTTCCCTTAAATAGTTTAACAATCTTGTTCTAATCAAATTTCATGTAAAACATACCCAAAACATAAATGTTCAGAACACATTCGAGACATGCATGGAACAAACCTAATAAAGTGCATTGTACACATTATTTAAATATTCGAACGCTAATTTCCCTGCAAGCAGCTGTACATATTTTCCTCTTTCCACATTTTGTTTACGACTCCATAAACCTATCATAATCTCGCAGAGTTAGGCGCTATTTCCATTTACCCGGCCCGTAAATCACGCTGCAAATCCCCGTCTAAGTAATAATCTTTTTTAATAGGTGCTCGAGATCTTTTATGTTGTCCTAGACGAGCTCAACCAGACGATTTCGAATTCGGTGCACTGGCCTTTTTCCTATCCTCGGACTTACATCCCTGCAATAGTTTTCCTCTACGAGCGTTTACAGTACGGGAGCCCAATGCAGCTTTAATCCAAATCTTTTTATAACAAACTTAACAGAAATTTCGTTAGACTCAAATAGGTTTGATTCATTCAAATATAATACAATATAACAATTATATTTTGTACCTATTAATGGTGTGGGTGAAATAAGGAATTTATGTAAATATATTCAAGTCCGTGGACTATATGGAAGGGCAGTAGTTTCGTTGGGGAAGTTCTCTCCAGAGGGTCTGCAGAAAGCCATATTTCAGGGCGGCGCACATAATTACCTACATTTTCCGCGTAAAACCAATTACATTTCGACTTGGAAGTACACCCAGAAAAATTCCTGGGAGACCCTGAGTCAACGGAAAATATCTCCACTTTAAAAAATTAATCCGGTCGAGATTGATGGTTGCCGGAAGGGACTTTCGACCTTTCAGCCGCAAACTTTTCGAAAGATGCTATATTTCTAATTAACTCGCTTTTGTAATTAGTTTATAAATATAAAAATTATATTCCGTCGGGCCCATTGTAAAATTCTCGTCGTCGGGCCCTTTGTTTCACTCGAGCTCGAGTGTTCTCTGTGCGGGGCGTTTTTTTTAATTTTAATTTCATTCCGTTCGAAAGGGTGAGTCTTTTGAATCGAATTGAATTGCATCGCATTCTGTCCCATACGAATAAAACACAGCATGCAAGCGAAGTCACCATACAATTCCTTCGGAAAACGTGCAAATTCAATCAGCTAATTGAATTGTTACTTACACAGTTTTTCGTTGTGTTTCAGGTTTCCACAAGCTGTCCCAGTCGTATTGCACAAAGTAAGTAATTTCGTTACATATTTACCCTTTTTATATTCTTTTATTTACTAATCGAGTTCTCCTCTTCGCGTTTCTTATTTCGCTGCCATCTCCGCGAGACGCCTTTCCCAAGGACGCGAATGTAATTATTGTCGGCGTTTTATGCCCCGTTTGCTCCTCGTTCGTCTCCATTTTAATGGAATCTGATAATTTCATAATTTGGCCCATTGCTGTTTATCGATTGCCGGGCCTCCCTTATCGAATTGTTCGCTCGGAACGAAATCAAATCCAGCAGCGCATCGACAACCATAAAAATAATATTACCCAGAATTTACTACAACATTGGGAGAGTTTACTGATAACGCTAGATTTTTATCGAAATTATCAAGTTTGCATACTAATTGCTTAAGCTATTTCAATCGGTCTGTATATGAATTTTGCA